CATGCCATAACCGCCGGTGCTGACTGCTACCTTGTGCACCACGCTCTTGGAAGGCCAACCCGCCCTAAGGGGCTGATGATCCTCTTCTTCCTGCTCGTCATCGTGTGTACTGAGCTGCTTCTCCTCTTTTACGAGCTCATTTGCACATCCTTCCCGTCGATCCTCCCGCCCTCTTGGCGACCTCCCCCACCCCCGGCCAACACTCTGCCCTCGGATCTGGCGTCCCTCTTCCGCGAGCGTTCCACCCCACCCAGCCAAGCCATTTCCCCTTCCCCCATCCCACAGGTCGCCGCACCACACATCGCCCCCGGTGGCAGCCCGCTTCTCGAGAGCCTCCTCTCGCTTCCCCCCCAGCCGACCACCCCGACCTCGGCCTCAAGCCGCTAGATCAGCACACGGTAACAAACCACAGAGCCGCAAGGCCCGCCCCTGCCGCACACCCTCCTCCCAACCATGAAGACCTTCCTGGCCAAGAAGAGAAACACCATGACCCGCGATGCGTCCCCCTCGCCGGACATCGGTGACTCGGCATCCGTCCACGACATGATCGGCTCCGCTTCGGAGACCACCCCCTCGCCGCAGACGTCCACAAGTCCCGTGGGCCCTGGCGGGGATTCGGTGCCCACCCGGCCTGCGCGGTCTCACACCACCAGTCCCGCGAATGCGACCGAGCCGATCGATTCGGCGCGACTGCGCTCGGCCAGTGCCAATCCCCGGCTAAGTGCAATCTCCCGCCGGGGGGACGACCCGGCCGGCGTCTCGTCGAGCGAGTCATCCTCCGCCTCGCCGAGCGAGTCGTCTGCTCCATCCCCGGGGGCCGCACTCCCGGGCCCGGGCTCCTCCGCCGGGACCGCGGCCGGTGGGTCCGGATCTGGCCCCAACGCCGCCTCCACCACCTATGGCCCCCAGATCTCCTCGCTGCTGTACCACCTCCCCCGCGAGGAGTACATCTTCTCGGAGCCCAATTCCCCCAGCAACATCATCTGGTCGAATGAGCCGTATTCGCGCGAGGAGCTGCCCCCGATTCGGTGCGTTTTCCCTGGCCCCGGCCTTGGCTCACCATGTGTCCTGGCCCTGTCAGACGCTTTTCTCGCACCTGTGTTGACACGCAGCCACCGACGCACGCACGCACGCACGCACGCACGCACGCACGCACACAGAGGGGCCACCCTGACCAAGCTGGTGGAGTTCATCACCCCGGATGTCTACACACAGAACAACAGCATCTTCCAGTTCCTGCTGACATACCGGACCTTTGCCTCGCCGTCGCAGCTGCTTGAGTTGCTGGTGGCCCGGTATGACATCCCCAAGCTTCCGCCCGATGTGTCCATCGACGTGGCACAGTTCAATGTGCGTCCCCCTCCTTTGGTCATGCACGCACATACATACACACATATATATATATATATACAATGCCACCCACAACTTGGCTCGCATTCGTCCTCTTCTCTCGGCCCGCTAGCTCTGACGCACATCCATCTCGTCTGCTGCCCTCTTGAACCGGGACATGCGATGGGCGGGGGGCGGGGGGGGGGGAAACCCATGGCTCTGCAGAAAGACAGCGATTCCGTGCGCGCGCGCGTTATCAACGTTCTCAAGACCTGGGTGGAGAAGTTCTTCTTCGACTTCCAGCACAACGACCAGTCGCTCATTCAGGACCTGCTGCGCTTCTGTGACACCATTAGCACCCGCGACTCGGCCCATGCAGAGCGCATGCGCAAGCTCATCACCCGCAAGTCGACCGAGCATCCGCCCACCACCATCCTGACGCAGCTGGCTCGAGGGGAGCTTCCTCCCCTGGCAGACGGGGTGGTTCCCGGACAGGCGTGGAACCCGCTGCTCTTCGACCATATGGAGGTGGCCCGTCAGATGACGCGCATCGAGTTCGAGACATACCGCGCAATCCTCACGTCGGAACTGAGCAACCAGGTGCGTCCCCTGCTTGCCAGTCCCTGGCCTTTTTCTTTAGTATCCGACCCGGGCTTCCTTCTTTGGCTTTTCCTTCTCCTGCTCGGTCCCTTTCGCTCTCCTCCTCCTCCTCCTCTCCCCCTCTCTACTCACCCGCTCCAACCTCTCCCCCTCCCCCTGGCTTTTACTCATTCGCCCCTTCGCCACAGGCCTGGACGCGTGGCACGCGCGATGATAAGCTGCTCAACTCACCCAACATTGTGGCCTTGATCGAGCGCTTCAACATGGTCTCTTCATGGGTGGCGACGACGATCGTCTTCGAAGAGGACCTTTCCAAGCGCCGCGATCTGTATATCTTCTTCATCCGCCTGGCCAAGGCCTTTTACCACCTGAACAATTTCAACGGCGTGATGGAGGTGATTTCCGGCATTTCCTCGGCCTCGGTCTTCCGTCTGTACCGGACTCGGAGCCTGATCGGCCGGCAGGCCATGGCCGAATTCGTGGACCTGAGCAATCTCATCAGCACCGAGTGCAATTCGCTGGCCATGCGCAACTGGCTGAAGCAGGTCCAGCCGCCGGTTCTCCCGTACCTGGGCATGTACTTGACGGACTTGATGTTCACCGACTCCGGCAACCCGGACTTCCTGCCCGGCACGCGGTTGATCAACTACCACAAGTGCCGTCTGGTGTCGGCCGTCATTCAGGATGTCCAGCAGTACCAGCAGACCCCCTACAATTTGCCGGCCGTGGAGCCCCTCGCCTCGCTGGTGCTCAATCTACACACCCGGTCGGAGGACGACTGCTACAAGCAGTCGCTCAAGATCGAGCCGCGGTCCGAGAGCCCGAGTCGCGGCCGGGGCGACCGGTCTCCGATGGAGGAATTCTTCCTGCTGGATGACCCGGCCAATCCCTTCCTGGAGAATGACATGTCCGATGTGAACATCCGCTTGGGTGTACGTATGCTTTGTTCCTTCCCTCCTCCGGTCTCCCCCTCCCCCCCCCCCCTCTCCTCCCCTGGTGGCTTGAACCGTGATCACTAACGCCCCTGGCCGGGTGCTCTCGCGCGCGTGCACGCACACACACACACACACACACACACACACACAGGGATTCGATTTCTTCCGCAAGCGGCCCATTCTTCAGGCAGCCAGCGTCGCCAAGCTCGTGGAGTACCTGACACACGACGGGTATGCCGACACTGGCCAGCTCCAAGTCTTCCTCCTGACGTATCGGATGTTTGTCTGCCCCCGGCAGCTGTTGTCCCTGCTGGCCATTCGGTTCACGGCCCCCAAGCAGCGGGCCGGCGTGTCAGACCTCACCATCCAATCCTTCACCAACACCTACCTCATCCCCATCCAACTGCGGGTCATCATGTTCCTCCGTGCCTGGATTACAAAGTACTTCAATGACTTTGCTCGTGATCCGGCTCTGTTGGCTCAGCTGTCGCAGGCCTTCATGACCTATGATGCGCAGCGTGACCCGCTCCTCCTGCCGCCGATCAAGCGCGCCCTTTCACAGGTTCGCATTGCCATCTAGGCAGACACACACACACACACACACGCACACACGAGCCTAGAGCGGCTATTTCTCCTTTGGCGGCTTGCCCCACCTCCCCTCGCACCTTCTTGTATTCTGATGTGCTACTGTCGCCGGGCTGCCGGCTCCGTGCCCGTGTGTCTTCCTTTTTCTTCCTTTACGCGCCCTCCTCTCTCCCTCCCTCCCTCCTGGAAAAAAGCTCCGCATTGCCTTCCGCCGGCGTCTTCAGGAAGTCCTGGACGGCCGCACCGACTTCTCGGTCAACCGCCGGGAGACCCCGCGTGCCCGGCCTACCAGCACCATCCCCCGAGCGTATCCGCATCTGAATGCCTTCTGCCCGGAGCGCTTTTCCCTGAAGAACATGCCCGAGCCCCAGGACCTGGCCTTCCAGTTTGCCTCCCTACATGAGGCCATGTTCTTGGATGTGGACTTCTCGAACCTGATTAAGGTATGCATGCACCTCGGCACTTGCTCGCCGCAGTCCCTGTGCGCTCTGCCTGGAGACGGCTTACGCCTGACAACATGTACATCCCCTCGGCCCCTCGGCCCCTCGGCCCTTCCCCTCCCCTCCCCCTTCCGTGATGTCCTCCCCAGCTTCGTGCTACCCCCGGCAGCGTGTCTGACGCGCCCGCGGTGAAGAGCCCCCCATCGACCGGCTCGGCCAGTGACTTCTCCTCTTCCTATGGTGAGTTGTTCACTGAACCGATGCTCCGCCTGCACGTGCACTCGGAGCGCATCTACGCCTGGGCCGTGGATCGGATCATGACGGCGCCGGACCTGGCCTCGCGCATTGACCAGCTGTCGTACTTGATCGATGTGGCTGAGCAGTCGCGCCGGCTGCACGACTACGCCACCATGTGTCCCCTGGTGGCGGCTTTCCGCAGTGTGCACGTGCGGTCTCTTCGCCGACTGTGGCAAAACTACCCGTACAAGGACCGCATGGTTGTCCTGCAGGAGTTGACTCGGTGTGTGCTTTTTTCCTTTCTCTCTCTCTCTCTCTCTTCGCCCTTCCCACCGCTCCAGCCCGCTGTTCTTTTGCCGGTTTCCCTTCGCGTAGACACACGCACACACAATCATACGTGTGCGAATAAGTGCACATGTAGATGGACCTTCAGTGGGAACCCTCGACCACCACACCGGCGCCCAATGTGAGAACTAACCATGGGTGCCTTTGCAACCTTTGCTTTTCTTGGGGGTGGGGGACAAAGTCTCTTCTCCAACCGCGAGGGCGAGCAACAATTTGTCTATATGCAGGCTATCCGTCGGTCGCCCCTGGCAGCCACAGTTCCCTTCATGCAGCCCTTCCTGGATGGGATCGCCGCCTGCCTCTCGAGCGGTATCTATGTCAGTGACAAGAAGCTGGTGGACTTCGACAAGTGCCGGCATGTGGCCGACATCATCCAGGACTTGATGAGCTTCCGCCGGAACACCTGCTACACGGTCGTACGTGGCTGCCATCCTTCCCTCATCCCGCCGGCTCCCCTCCACATTGCTCCCGTCTTTGCTGGCTGCCCAAATGCCTCGGGGGCTTTCCACGCTTTTGTCGCCTCGCGCCAACAACCCACCAATCGTCGCTCACCCCTGTGCCGCGCTCTTTCCTCGCTTGTCTCTCTCTCTCCCGCCCTCCCTCCCTCCCTTCCCCCTGTCTCCTCGTGCTGTGTGCATGTGCAGGCCCGCAACTCCGACATCCAGGACTATATCCTCCAACTGCCGGTGGATGCGGAGCTGCTGGCAGCTCTAACTACGCAGCCGGTCCGCTCGGAGACCATCGCCTTCTTCGCCAACCGGGCCAACGATCTGGATGAGCACACGATGAAGGCCTACCATGAGCGCATCCTCTCGGAGTCGGTCGACGCCCAGGGGTTCATCTCGATGCCGAAGAAGCCGGCCGGCGAGCCCGCTCCCATGGCCGGCTCTGCGGCCCCGATCCACGGCTCGAAGCCCGGGCGTGAGTGCATCTGCTCGGCCGATCCCCATGGGTCCGGGGTGCCCTTCCTGGCGGCGCGCCTGCTTGCGCAGAAGCCCACGGACGAGGTGAAGCTACTGGCCTCGCGACAGCTCCTGGCGCAGGAGCCCTTCCGGCAGCAGGTGTTCGATGCGTCGGTGCGCACGGTGCTTGCCACATTGGATGGCAGCATCAAGGGTGACGGAACGCCGGAGGCCTCGGTGGCCGTGGCTGCTCGAGCCCCGGTCTCGCAGCTGGTGGCCGCCGGACCGCTGTCCTTGGCCGACCCGGGTGCCGCTCGGGAAGCGGCCGCCTCCCTCCCCCTGCTAGACTCCGGCGCGGGATCCTTTGTCACCGGGAATGAAGTGGTGGCTCGGGTGCCTTCGGTAGGTGGCATGGTCTTGGACAAGGTCTTGACCGATGGCCTGGCGTCAGATGTCCTCCGGAGCGCGCTTCCAGATGGGGCGTGTTGATTTGCTGTCTCTTCTAGATCGGCCGACGGGACCGTGGTGAAGAAAGAAAAAGAAGCACTCCCAAGCACCCCCCCCCCCCTTCGGCCACTTGTCCACGTGCAAATCCGGCAGGCGAAGAAATGTATTCAAACATGATCAAATGAAGCCACATACACACACACACACACAGGCTGGATATCCAGACATGTACATACGCAGAGGGAAGCCGGGCTTGTGGGAAGACCGAGCCTCCAGGTGGGCTCGGAGCTGGCTCAGCGGCGCATGGCGATGACCTTGGCCTCAGATTGAGGATACTGGGGCTTGTTGGCAAAAATCTCATCAATCTTCGCCATCACTTCCGGAGTCAGGAGCTTGAGGTTGTCCAGGGCGCTGAGGTTCTCGTTGAGCTGCGAAATCGGGGGGGGGGGGGGGGGGGGGGG